GAAAAGAGACCAGTTAGACACCTCTTGGAGCACAACAGAGGAGAAATGATATTGGCCTGGACCACTGTGTCGTGATGATGCTGGTGAGGAGCAGCTGGATTCTGGATACCTAGAGTACAGCAAACAGTATTTGTGAACAGGCTAGCATAGGACGTAAGAGGAAGGTGTTCATCGTCTCTGCAACTGAGAGGACTTCTGTTGAGATGAAAATGACTGTGGGAGAAGCACCTGAGAAGAGTTGAAAGCTTTGATTTGGGACTTACGGGTAGAGGAGAAAGGTATATAGAACTGAGCTCAAATCTCCTCTATAAGAGTGGCAAGGTAAGCTTATTTATTCTCTAAGCAGAGAGAGCAGCTGAAGGAAAAACAAGCTAAGCTACCGAGGTGTCTTTTACAATGCTGTTATCTTTTATTGAAAAAAGCACAATTATATTTTCAGAGTCATATGTACTGGAAAGTATTTTGTATTTATTTAAAATCCAACTCTGAGAAACTCAGATTTCAGATAATATTTTATTGACTCTTAAAACACCTACTTGAATTAAAACAAACAAACAAACAAACAAACACTACCAGAGACCCACTTTGAGAAGTAGAAGAACAAAGAAGGGAAAATGGCTTGCTGAAAGTCAGGAAAGCTTCCACCACCTGGAATGTAATCCTTGGTATAAAAGACACAAGTTCAAAATTGACCCCTTTGCATAAATTAAATGTTGGGTTAAGTGAATTATTCAGAATGGTCATATCTTAAGTGTAATAAGAGATGAGGAATTTGAAAAAGACTCATGAATCTCATAGGGTACTCATAAGCAAGTTCTGTACTAGAAACTCACTTAACTTATATCTCACTGGTCAGACCAAGATTCATTGGGTGTTCATAAGTTAAGCAAAATGCAGTGTGCCCAGGGAAAGCTGAATTCTCCCAGTCAGCAAGCCACTTTCCAATATTTTGCACTCCTTTGCTCTCACCTTACATGCCTACCATGAGTTACTTATATTTGTTTTCAAACCTATTTATTGTCAGTTGTCATAAAAATTACATAAACCAATGGTACAAGCTTGTAGAGAGAAAGAGATAGTCATTTCTCTAGTTGGATATTTTTGGAAGATTTCTTTAAAGGCAAGTTGCTAAAAATACTGTTCTCAAACTCTGTGTAGACAAGATAACTAAAAGATTGGGGAAAAAAGTCACAGAACTGTAGGATTTTATGTTCCATTGCACTCTGCCCAACGAGTGTCCTCAGTCTCAGGTCCACTTTCAAGAAACCAAACTGGCTATCTAAGGCATTCGGAGTAAAGCATAGGGAAACAGACAAACAAAAGAAACCACAAGACCCACTCAACAGACTCATAATTAATGAAAAGGCTTGTCCCTAACATTAAAAGATTAGCCAACAACAGAACAACATTTGTGTGCTTCAAGTTACAGTGTTTAATGTATATAAGAATTAATTTTAAAAAATGATTACTTGCTCGAATTGACTTTTGTGACCAGGAATGCAGCTTCTCATTGCATGGGCTAAGAGCACTGTTAGCATATTTCATGGCCCCCTGATTCTAGGATCCTAAGCTATAGCCACGTTTGAGTACTATCACTCACTGAGTCACAAACACTATTTCACGTACACTGGGAGATCTCTACATTTCTCATTGACCCAATTTGATTTATGTATCCTGCCATCATTTTGAACTGAGGTAATTATATCTGTGTGTATTTCATATAAAGCCTTTCACTTTGATGGCTTGTGTGTCCTGTTAGGAATAGAAACACATATAAAGGAACAGAAATAAAATGGTGGTGATGGAGAAAATGTCAACGCTGGAGGTGGTAAATACAGTTAAGTTTTGAGATAATGAAGTGGGCAAGAGTATCCACATACATGTGTATTTGGTGAGAAAATGTACTCACTATTTTCTCCAAGTGTCAGTCAACCAAAATGTCACACTGTAATACTTATGTACTGTCCAGTTTAGACAATGAGACTTGTATTTATTTATATATTATACTATTAATGAAATTCAATGTAATAGTTACCAGAAGCTAAAACACTCACTTTCTTCAGTAAGAGCAGGCTCAAATAATATTGAGTTTGAATTAAAAATCCAATACAGAATTATTTTTTAGTTCTTGTATGGCTAGCTGCTCTTAAATTTCAGTGGAAATGATACTAGGAGAAAACCTTCAAATCTTGTTTTAAAGTATATATACATCCCCCTACCCCCAACCCTCAAACGTATACCACTGGTCATAGAATCACATGGGTCTGAACTGTGTGGGCCCACTTATACATGGATTTCTTTTCAGTAAAAGTTACATTAAATGTGCCTGCCTCTCCTGACTCTACTTCTGCCTCCTCTACCTCTTCCACCTCTGGCATCCCTGAGACACCAAGTCCAACCTCTTTCTCTTCCTCCTCCTCCACTAACTCAATGTGAAGATGATGACGATAAGGATTTTTATGACGATCCAATTCCACTTCAGGAATAGTAAATATATTTTTTCTTCTTTATGATTTTCTTATTAACATTTGCTTTTCTCTAGCTTACTTTATTGTAAGAATATAATAAATAATACATATATCACACAAAATAAATGTAAACTGACTGTTGATACTATCAGTAAGGCATTCAGTTAACAGTAGGCGATTACGTTTTGGGGGAGTCAAAAGTTACACATGGATTTTTGACTGCACAGGGGTATGGCACCCCTAACTCCCACACTGTTCAAGGGTCAACTGTACATATCCACTATTTACTCAAGAGTATCTTTCAAAACATGGTTCTTAAAAATGGGCCAAGACTACCAGCAACCAAATTATACAAAGCAGAAACATTATGGGATTTACTGATTTGAGCCATCTCCCCAGGACTGTATTTGCTCAGGGCATAGGGTGAAGTAGGCTGCAGCTTATAGGGCATGAGAAGAACTGGTTTTAGGATGGACTCTGGCCTGGCTTGCTGTGTGGTCTCAGAGTTCCTTTACCTCTCTGGCTTCATTTTTCTCATCTGAAAAATGAGGTGAGACGCCCTTCCTAAGGTCCATTTCCAACTCTAAAATTCTGTGCCTCTGTCATCCTAACAGGTAACACATATTGAAGGCTTTCAATAAGAAAGGCAGTACGCAAAGTAATAATATAACTTTGTATATCCCATATAATAACTCATGTAAGTTACAAAGTAATAACTTACATATCCCATGTAATAACTCATGTAAGCCTCACAATCATCCTAAGAGCCAATATTCTGGTACTGTTCCCATCTTAGAGATGAGGAAAACGAGGCACAGAGAGGTGAGTGGTACATCTGCGCTTCACATAGCTGGGAAGAGGACGAGCAAGGATTTGAACCCAGGCAATGTGGCCCCAAAGCCCCAATACTTGAGCTCATACTGCATCATCCTGTTTCTTGTTATATGAATTGGTAATTAAAGAAGGTGTTGATCTGAGTGGAGTAATAAAAGAACTTGAAGGCACTGCAAAATCTGTTCTCCTGAAGTGAGGTGACCTAAACAATAGCACAAAACGCCATGATACAAACACTCTTACGTGATCTGGAGCATCCATTTCTGCTTCCAAAGCTACAAGTCAGGAGTTCCTAAACTTTACCACATATCTGAGTCATCTGGAGCATCTTGTCAAAAATGAAGATTCAGGATCAGTACATTTGGGTGGGCCTGAGACTCAAATGTGTAAAAGCTCCCAGGAGGGGTCTGTACTGGAATGAGGACCATAGTTTGTGAGTGAGTGTAATGGAGTTTTGATGGTTTAGGGGTCAGCAGAACTCAATTCTGCCGTAAATTATCTCTGGATTCAGGGTTAAGTTTTGAAATCTCAGTGTCCTCAAATGACCTTCCCTGTACATTTCCTTTTAGCTCTAAAATTCAATATTTCTAATGATATTAGAAATTCAGTCTACATTGAGTTTCCACTTGCAGGAATTCTCTCTCATCAACTTACACTGAGTTTCCCCTTACAGAATTAATGAGAAGATAAAATGCCTCCCCATTCCCCTAGACCTGTGTCTGCCATGGCAAGTAAAGGCTCAGTCCTTTTCACACACACTACAGAAAGATAATGGGAGCTCTGTACAGAGGTAAAATCACCTTGTAAACACATTATTCACAGAAAAAATATTTAAGAGGCTTTCTATTCCTTTGAGAAGTCTCTTTGAGACTCACTTGCCAGGGCAATGGTATGTTGAATATGGTACTAAAAGACGGACCTTAACCCAATATTTTAACAACTTATTGGGAGGGGGAGTTTGGGTTTCCTAACCATCCAGACCTGCACTGCCCAATATGGTGGCTGTTAGCCATATGCAGCTATTGAACACCTAAAATGTGGTTGGTCTGATTTGAAAATACACATCAGATCTCAAGACTTAGTATGAGCAAAAGAATGTAAAATATGTCACTAATAAATTTTTATATTAATGTCCTATTAAAATGACAATATATTAGGTCTATTGGGTTAAATAAAATATTTTATTAAAATTAATTTCACCTGTATCTTTTTACTTTTAAAACATGGCTACAAGAAAAGTTTAAATTATATATGTCGCTCACATTGCATTTTTACTGGGTGGTACTGGCCTAGACCTTTGTTACTCAAACTGCAGTCATCAGATGAACAGCATCCAGGTCACTTGGGAACTTGTTAGAAAAGGAGGATCTTGTCCCCACCTCAGACCTATTGAATCAGAATCTGCATTTTCACAAGAGCCCATGGGATTCTGGTACACACTCAAGTTGGAGAAGTGCTGGACTAGTATTCCCTACAACATATCACAGCAGGTATTTGGGTTGTTGGCCCACAAGAGTGACATGCTAAAAGGGTATTGTGCTTGCTGATTTTCTACAGAAACATGTTAGGAAAGCAATGCTAACTTTTAAATGATCATACAATTTAAGAACATATATAAAAATATAGCACACATAAAATTAAACACACAACATATATACATATGGGGGGAAGAGTGGGAGGCCATTGAACTGATGCTACCTTAGTTACTTCTGGATTTTCAGCCACCATGTAGGTAAAGCTAATGTTCACTAGATCTGTGCCACTGCAGACACAAACTATCCGCCCTTCCAGATCATTTTCTGATTTTCCAACAGCTTCAAGAGCAGCCAAGATTTTGGGATCCTGTATAGAGGTACACAAAAAGGAAAAAAAAAAAATGTTAGATCACAGAGCATGAAGGAAGAAACTTGGTAAAAAGAAACCACATTTGATGTAAAAATATACATAAGGCCCCAGAAATCTAGCATTATTCTAAAACCTGTAGAGATAAAATTTGTAGCACTATATATTCCTTGAAATCAACTGATAAGAAAGGTGTTATAAATTTTTTGGTGGGAGAAGAAGCTGAGGCTCTGCTCTGTCACCTAGGCTGGAGAACAGAGGTACATTCTTGACTCACGGCAACATCTGCCTCCCTGGCTCAATGGATCCTCCCACTGCAGCCTCCCAAGTAGCTGGGACTATAGGCACATGCTACTACACCCTAATTTTTTGTAGAGACAGGGTTTCAGTATGTTGTCCAGGCTGGTCTCAAACTCCTGGGCTCAAGGGATCTGCCTTGCTTCTGCCTCCCAAAGTGCTGGGAGGTGTGAGCCACTGTGCCCAGCCTAAAATTTTTGATTTAGAAATTAGATGTGAGAGTCTTTGTTTAGAGTTTTGATTGTAGTTATTGGAGGACCTGGAATATAGCAAAGAGATAGAAAAGGCTTTTATTAGGGTGTGCTTGTCCACAAAGACTCTCTCTCACCAGAGACTCACAGGCGTTTCATGTGAATAAACGTGGCATTACCACAACCAGCAACCACATGTTGTTCTCAAAACAGATTAAATGTTTTAAGTAACCTGGATACAGAGAGTGAGTTTTTCATCTCTGGAAGCCATGGCATCCTCAGTTGGAATGAAGGCTGTGCAAGTTTACCCTAATTAGTAAATAAAATAGTGTCTTTGTTCTCCAAAGTAACTCAGGAGGAAATGTCAACATATAGTTGCACAGAAAAATTAACTAATGTAAAAGAGGACAACCTTAAAAAAAACAGAGCGAGGAATATAATTTTGTTTTGAACAGCTAAAACCCTGCAGGGATATTACGGAAAAGGGAATAAATACTGTGCTCGAATATTCTAGAAAGAAACATCTTTGTAGATACAAATAGATTCTTATTCAAACAAATCAAACACTGAGAATAAGACTGATTTATGTGTTTTGTTATTTTTTTTCCTTTCAGAGGCAAACTCAGCCTTTAAGGTGAGCCAATGTCTGAGTATACAGTTGCACAAATATGAAACTACCCAAGCCATTTAAATTTCTACATCATCCACAGATGAGAATGAATCACTGTTTGCTAAAAAACAGGAGAGCAAGAGCTTGTCAAATTAATTTCTGAGTTAAGGGAACTGTTTTCTTTGATGCTGGTATCATGCAAGGGTCTTGGTTTTTAAGTGTTCATAATATTTCTAATAAAATTAATAATAGTGCAACCCAGACCACCCAACAGTTATAGATGAGATTTCTAAACTGTGTCTGTTCCTAATTCCCAGCTTGTGACTTTTTGGCAGTAACATGTTAAACACTATTCTGGAGACCATTTCCAATATAAGTAAATCTGTGTTTAGAAAAGCAAACATCAGTCACGGGTACCTTTGGTGTGGCTCCCGACCGAATACTGTTGATGAGGGAGCATTCTAGCACCTGTCCTTCCTGAAGAGAGAGAATACAACACAGCAATGAGCTTAAATTGTGCCATACCTATGATACAGGCAAAGTGCTTGGTAAAAATTTCCGATGAAGGCAGTGCTGATTACAAGTCAGGTTGAAGAGGGAATTAAAACCAAGTAACAATAATTATTCCAAACAATCAGAAATAATCAAGACCCTAAATATTCCATTTCATATCTATACACAGATAAAAACAAGAGGGCAGAATAATGTTTTTACATTATTCTGGAGACCATTTCCAACATAAGTAAACCTGTGTTTAGAAAAGTAAACATCACATAGATAAGAAATGCTGATATATTTTAGAGATGATATAGATATGAAATAGATAAGAAATGCTGAATATTTATTAAAATGTTTCTAAAATGCTGTTACTTTTATACATAAAACAGTGTTAATAATCATAAATACGTGTGTACATAAATTATGTGAGAATAATGCTAATTATTACGTAACTACAATTCTTTCCTTAAATTCAGCTCAAATGTTCATTAAATGTGACCATCATACCATACATTGAATTAAGTCCCAGGGTATAATGAGTTGAACACACTTTGAATGTACCTTTTAGATTTCAGCTTGAGCATCTCATCTTCTGGCAGATTTCTTTCTAACTCCCAAGATTAAATTAAACTCTTTGACAATCCAGATTTCTCTTTCACAGCACTCAATGACTTGTAACTTTTTTTTAACGCCTGACTTTGCTCCTAGACTGGAATCTATGAGGATAATGTCCTTAATCATCACTGTATACTTCAATGCCCGGCACATGGAGGCACATTTTTAAAAATCCTGAATGAATGAATAAGGGTAGGGTTCATCAATAGCACTCAGTCTACTTGTTGAAAAACAAAATGGCTTAAACCATAAAGCAGAAAGAACGACTTGCTATTCTTGGGCCATACCTTGCCTTCACTTTTCCAGGTCAGAAAGAAGCCAAACTCATCCACTTTGAAGAGGCAGTTGGGTTCAAACACAAAGGATTCCTGTCAAAAAAATATGTGTTGATCTTCATGACTCACACCATTTTGAATCCAATAACAATGCTAATATTGCTGAGCTTCTAAACAAAGGTAAATTAGAAATCAACATTTTGCATCTAATATCCACAGTTCTTCCTGTATTATGGAATGTTTTCATTTTGAAAAGTATTTGCCTTCATTTTTGTATTGCAAAACTGATCAATTTAATAAAACATCTTGTTCTAGGACAGGTTTAAGAACAAAGCACAATGACTGAAGGTGTCAAAGTCATAGATAAGAAAGTTTCCCTAGTATCTTGAAAGAAGGACTCCCAAGTTCTAGCCTGCTGATGTCAAAAATCAGGAGATACATTATTTTTAAGTCACTGGTTTTTGTTTTGTGTTTTTTTCTTTTCTTTTTTTTTGTCTGTAAAATTCAGCATTCAGTTATTTGCTTAGATTTTTGCCTTTTTATCTAACCTCATTTGGAGTCCTGTAAAGCAGGTCTTGAACAGCTCCTAGAGCTACTTAAAGTGTAGTCACTAGACCAGCAGCATCAACATCAGCTGGGAGCTTTACTGAATTGCAGAATAAAGGACCCCAGCCCAGATGGACTAAGTCAGAGTCTAGGGGGATGTGACCCAGCAATCTGTGTTCCAACAAGCCCTCCAGAAGATTCTGACATACACTAAAGTTTGAAAACCATTGCTTTGAACTTTGACACCAGAAACTCAGTGAAAGCTACAGAATCAACTTTGAATAAAGAAGGAATGCTCGCCAAACTCAAGGCATTAGAGCAGCTGTGTTACACTTGCCAACCAACTTCTTGTCATATTAGAGCACCACTGTGCTTAGGAATGAGAGGAAAATCCACATCAATGAGAGAAAAAGGGAGTCTGGGAAATGGACATAGATGCTTTGTGCCCTCCGTCTGCATTACACCAATACTAGGCATCCACACTTCAACAAATCTACATGTTCTTTTCATGATCTGAAGAAACTGGCTTCCTAGATCATTTCAATGCCAGCAATTAGAAACCTGTCTTGCAAACACGGATCAAGGCAGTGTCTTAAAACAAATAAATAGTAAGTGCAGGATTAAAGTTTTAAGGGCCATTCAGGCTCTTAGTTTCACTTGTTAAAATTTATCTTTCTAAATTACAGGAAAACAACAACATTTATTAAGGTAAATCCAATGTCAAGATACTAGGCCATCATAAGGTAGTCCTAGGGGTCCCTGAACAAAGCAGCCTTCAATTTGGGTAGTTTTCTAGCAGATTAAGAATTACCATATGTATTCCAACTCTGTATCAGGCATGTGCTATGCACTGCAGACATAGCCAGGTATAAGACCAAAGGAAGGGACATGGTTTGACCTTTGCTTTTGGAGTCAAAACCCAGTTCCACCATTTATTATGTACTTTCTCCCAGAGAGACTCTTTCTAAATTTCAGAATCCTTGTTTAACAAACGGAAGTAGTTCCACCTACCTTTTGGGTTTGCTGCTGGAATTAAATGAAATGGTGAACATAAAGCACATAACACAGAATTCCAATTCAGCAAGGAATAGCTCTATCGATAATACATGGTTCAGAATTGTAATAGTATTAGTGAATTACTAACAATATGAAAATGCCAGTATATGACATTTTTCGACCCTTCACAATGGCATTTTTGGACAGTTTGACCTTTTAGAAAAGGCTTCACCCGGAAGTTGATACTTTTGATGAATCCTCATGTCAGGCAGAGTGAGCAGCTCTTGCCCTCACATTAGAAGCTTCTGTTTGGTATGGCTAGATCACCTCAACAGAGTGACAAGGTATGTAAGGGGACATGTATATAAGTGTTGTTTCATTGCAAGGGACTTGTGTGCCACCTAAAAGGCATTAGCTTTTACCCAAATGCCATGCCGGGTCTTACGTTGTTACTAAGAAAATGAGAAGTATCAACTAACCAAGACATAAGAATTAGCCCATTTCAAAATACATCTCAAGCAATATCCTGATGACAATGAAGAATTCAGATACACAGTGTACAAAAGTGCATCCTAAAATGGTGTTTACAGAGTAGACCCACAACGAATCAGCCACCATCATTACTTATGTGCACCCTATCACCTAACTCCAAGTAAGGATTTGAGATGACCCATGAAATACCAATAATAAATAAGAATGGGTTTCCAACTTATTTTGAGGATGAACTTTCACTTTGTTGACCTCCTTAAATATAATTTATTCCTTCCCCCCCGAGTACCCCCAGAGCTTGCCACCACCACCTGGACATTTCAATTCCTAGTATCTCACTCTTGGAATTCCATCTGGTCCTTCTGGCCCCTCCCTCTATAATTCTCTGCTCCTATATTTGACTTCTTTGCAACCTCTTTTTGATTATCCCTGCCAATCTCCCACTACCCACCAGGTCCCTCCTCCTTTTCCATCCATCCTTACATTGCTTATTTCCACAGCTCAATATTGCAGTCGCACCTTCACAGGTGGCTCACAATTCCCATGTCTCATTTAGTGTTTTCTTGGCCAAAAAACAAAGTTTATTTTATGCACATTTTATCACCATCGCTTCTTTGCAAAACTCTTTGGGTCCACGATATTTACTTGAACGGTAAGCTCACTGAGCCTCCGGGGCCTCTTTTCCCATTCCTGGGGTAAGAGAGGCCAAGGACCTGGGCACATCAGAGCGGGGAACTCAGAGCATCTTCGGGAGGCCCCCGCTCCATCCCCCACTTACATTCCTACTTCCATTTACTACCCTATGTTCCTGATCCTCTTCAGGACATAATATCTTGGAAATATTAACTTTTTCCATTACCGCTCTCCATACCATCTGATCAAGTCTATCTGGTTTCCATTTCTAGCACCCTCTAAAACTTCTCTGGCTGGTCCAGCATGCTGCAGAATGAGTACACACATTCCTTTTCTCATCTGATTTGATTTCTGAGAGGTTGCTTATTCCTTCCTTCTTGAAACACTCTCCAATTTTGGTTGTGCTCCATTGCCTTAATCTAATTTCCCAACTTTTCCTTCTGTACTCAACTTTTACATAGTCCCCAGGACTTGGTTCTGGGAATTCTCATTTCCACTGTGTACCCAGATTTTATTCAATCTTGTGTCTACAATATTATCTATTTCCTGATGACTCAAATTTGTAATAGCAGCCCCATCCTCTCCTCTGTGAGTTCAAATATTTTCTATGTGACATTTCCACTGCGATGTCTCAAAATAAGTATGTCCATAACTGAATTCTTTATTCTCTACCCTCGCTCCAAGTTTCTCCAACACAGTACTTCCTTAGTTCAATAAATGTCATTTGCATCTGATCACTTATTGAAACTAAGAGTCATCCTTAATTTTCCCTCATCTGTTCCTCTCACTTTCAGCAACGAGTCTACTTCTATATTTCCAATACATGCCCACTTTACTCCCTCTCCATCACCACACACCTTGGCCCAAACCAACATTATCTCCCCCATGGATTGATCTTCTCACTTCTGCTCTTTCTGCTGCCTATTGTTAAAATGTGACTCCCTTTTCGGACTCAGCCCGCCTGCACCCGGGTAAATAGCCATGTTGCTCACACAAAGACTGTTTGGGGAAGTCTCTTCATTCCAAGAGCACGTTTTAATACCTATAAGAGCCAGATTGATTCTTTAAACTTTGAATCAGTTCATCAAAAGCATTCCCATTATATTTAGAATAAAATCCTGACTCCTTACCATGACCGAAAAGGTCCTGAACGATCTGGGTCCTTCAAACCTTATCTCATTCCGCTCTCTGTTCTTCCTTCTATTTCTTGTTCACAACCATAAGAACTCTTTTCCTGCAACCCCCTCAAGCTCTCTCTAGTACCAGGGGCTTTGCAGTTGCAGTTCCTCCTGCTCAGAAGTCTCTTCCTGCTACCCTGGGTGCATTAGACTCCTCTTTGTTCTACAGACTTTGTCTTCAATATCCTCTCCTCAGAGAGGCTTTCCCTGATTCTTGATTTACTGACTGGCTCCCACACCAGAATGCAGCAACCTCCAAGAGGGCAGAGTCCTTGAAGCAGTCTTGTTTACCTTTGTGTGCTAGCACCTAGCACATCAAAAGCACACTAAAACTAACAAACTAAAAAATGAATGAACAAATGAATTCTTTTAAAGAAAAGATTTTGCAGCAGGCCAATATGTAAAACAAATAAATAAGAATTTGCTCAAATTGAGGGGGCTGCACCAGGCCCAGAACCCATCAGGGAAGTCCTTGGAAGGCTGCCAAGGATAGAAGTGGAAATACAAGGGCACTGGTCGAGGCTGTCTGCCTGAAGGCAGGAGCCTCTTTTTGTAATGCATACAAACTCATCTTAGAGGTTGGGGTGACTTTGAGACACTTCCTGGGAATTCCTATTGAACCAGAAGCACTGTTTGAATGGCAATGGAAGAAATCATTTTCAAAATGGGATAAGAAATCTGGGCAAAGAGAAGTAAAATAAAGCAGTATACTAAAATAAGGCCAGAGTAAAAGGCAGCTCTCAGGAATGCCTGTCATAGGTCCTGCACAGTTATAATAGGATGCCAGTTTGGCTTTGGGCTCCCTAGCAACAAAAGCAAAAACGGGAAAAAAAAATATTTACCAAGTGCCCATCCAGCTCATAAAATAAAAACATATCAGTTGTTAAGAGAAGCAATTATCAGAATAGAAATTCTCCAGGGGGATGAAATGAAACCCAGTTGACACTAAAGACCAGGCTCACAACAAAACCCACAATCAGCTCATCAACTGTGTCTTAAAAGGTTCTCAGACCAAATGCTTCAAACCATTCATGAAAAATCTGAGAACAAATCTGAGGGATGAGAGGTAATCAGCTGAACGGAACTAAAACACAAGGTAATTAGGTTTCTCACCACCTCCAACTAACAAACATAATAACTCGACCCTCTGGTGAGTAAAGATGCAACATCTCTATTCTTATTCCCTAACGGCAGTTTTAAATTTCACATAGATCCCTCCCAACCTGAATGTGGGCTGTGGCTCCCTGACCA